TGTTAAATAAATAAAATAGATAGTCTTATAGCAAGACTAAAATATAAACAAGACTCATGATAGCCTCACTATTATCTTTATATACACTAGCTACCAAAAATGCTTTGTAGAAGCCTTTCTACAAAGCATTCAAGGGCCACAAGGCTTACAGCCTAAGCATTTATTTGTAGATTGCTTTAAATCAACTTTCTAAAAAACTCATAGAAAAACCTATTTTAGCCATGTGGTATATCTTTGGAAATGTAAAGATCTAAAATGTATCTAAAAAATCTCCTCAAAGTTTCTTAAAGAATATTCTATCTATCTAACATGTTCTATCTACTTCTACTTCTATAATAATTGGTTTAGAATTGAATTATATTTTATAAGAATGTAGAATAGATATTTTAGAAATTAAAAGATTAATAGTAGTAGTAAAATACTCAAAAATAGATATTTTAGAAATTTAGGTACCTTCATTCTAATCAATTGATATAATGGTTCTTCTTTATATTATATTGACATTGAGTAATTGCTTTAAATAATTTTAAATGGTTTTTAATCCTAGATACTAATTTATATGTGATAAGGTTAATAAATTAAATAAATTATTTATAATAACATATAAAAGTAGGAGATTTTTTATTTTATATTTAATGCTATTAATATTAAGCAATTTAAAATATAGATACTAAAGAGTAGTAAGTATACATGATATAAAATTGATTTTACTTTAATGTGATAGGGTGCAAAACAACTTATGGCTCTAAATCCTTTTGCTCTAAAAATCAATAGTTACATTCTTAATCAAATCGATTTAAATTTATTTTAATTTAAATTTACTTGAGCTATGTACTTGGTTCTATTTTTTTTATAAAAAGAAATAGAATAACTCTTTTTCCTCTTTTATCTTCATTCAACTGAGGTCTTAATTTCTAATCATCATTACAACTTATATGTTTAAGGTTTTTGCTGATTGTTTTTAACATCATTTTTTTTCTTCTATAGCAATAATTCCTTCTTTTCTCTTGTAATTAATCCATCTAACGATGTGAGTAGAAGTTGTAATTATTCATATTTTTTTATTTAAGAAAAATTTGTATAAGTATAGAAATAGGCCCAAATTTGATATTTTATTTGTTAAAATTGGAAATTATTTAGTATAATTTTCAGTTAAATTTATAATTAATAAAAATAGAAATTTATATAAAAAAATCAGTATAATTATCAGTTAAATTTATCATTAATTAAATAATTGTCAGTTAAAATATTCTCAAGAAGATGTAAAGTGATTTTTTATTAATGATAAATTTCTATTGAGCTTAAATAAAATATATATCTCCAAATATAGTGACAAATATATTATTTTAATTAATTTAATAAATACAAATTTTAATAATGTAGCTTGTTCTTTTATCAAGTTTTATTATAAAAATTTGTATAATTTTTGATGGTATAAAGTCTTAACCTAAAAATATAATCTCAATATCCATTAAAGTATTTTTCAAATTCTTAAAGATATTTTTTTATTTAATGACTTTTAAAAAATAATAGTTCATTGATTCTAAAATTCTCTTGTACTAACTTGAAGTTTGTTATTGTAATTTAAGCCATGTTTTTGTTAAATTAGTTAAACATCATGCTTGATTTTATGGTCTATGATCTACCTATATCCACATTTGATGAAAATAATCCATACACTTTATAGCCAATATTTACACAAAGTATAGTATCTAGATAGACAGTGTATTAGTTATTACAAGAATCCAAGGAAACTAAGTGCAAAGCAAACAAAATTATATTTGAGCACAAAAAAGTTCAATACCACTCAAATGAATTGAACAAAGACTAGCATTTTTAGAAAGATTTTTAAGTTTCTTTTGGATTCATATGATGTATTAATAATAATTATAAATATTTCCTCATTTCAAAAAAAATAAAAATATATAGTGTTTTAAAAAGGAGATTTTATCTATGCAAAATATTTCTTATTGCTTCTACATATTTCTATAAATTTAAGTAATTTAGATAGTTCATTATCATTTTAATAATTAATTTTTTTAAAGATAAATTCTATAAAAATTACTAAAAATAACTCTTAATTTATAAATTGATAAAATCTAATATGTATATATACATATATATATATATATATATATATATATATATGTATAATAGATGATATTTACTACGAATTCTAAAAAATATTTAAGAATATATTTGATACTAAAAAAATAATTGATAAGTTTTTCAAACTGTTGTTTATGTCTAATATCTCTAAAAAAAAATTTATGAAATTTTGATAAGATAAAACTTATAGTTGTGAAAATCCAAATAATTCATTAACTAATTTCAATATTATTATTTTGGAAACAAATTTGTTGTCTATTAAATTATTATATCAATTAAAAAAATAAAAAAGTTATAATTTGTTTTAAGAAACATTTTATTAATAACTTTGAAATGGATTATATTTTTATATAATTAAGAATAAATATCTTATTAAAAAAATAATTTTTTTTTGATCAATTTATAAGACATTTGTGTGGCTTTCATATATATTTAAAATATTTTTGAATTTTTATGTAAAATAAATTAATAGTTTTTTAAATCTAAGATTTCTTGTATTAAATTCTTTATGAATACCTATTCTTTTGATATTTTAAATATTCAATTAGCTAAAAGAAAATGTAAAAAAATAAGATGAATCTTTATTGATATATGTAATTACAAACAATATGAAATTATGTTAACCTAATTATGAATAAAAATTGGTTAAATTCCTTGATAATCAATCATATTATTAGATCATTTTTTTATTAATTATAAAAGATGGCCATATTTCATTGTTAATTTAAAAGATATATCTATGTAGGTCTTTTTATATTCTTGAAATCTTTTTAATTGAATTACTTATATTATATAATTAATCATTAAAAATAAATTTTAAAACTTATGAAAATTAATAAGTTAGTAATTAGAATTAACACATGCTACCAATTATTAGGTAATATTATCAATAAGGTTAAATTTGAATATTAAATAATATTAATCCATGTCAAAGATGTAAGATTTTTTAATTAATTTGGCAATGAGAATAAACTTTAACATCCATGCATAAAAAGTCTTGCCAAAGATGTTAGGCTTCCAAATTCTTTTAGCAATAATATCAAATTTGATTATCTTGGAATATTAAATTTTGTTAAAGATGGAAGACTTTCTAATTCATTTGATAATGACATAAGATTCAAAAATCAATCTATATCAAGCTTTGTCAAAGATATAAGATTTTTTTAATTTTTTCTAATAATTATGTCAAATCCAAACAACCCGCTAGATTAAATGATGTCAAAGATGTACAATTCTGCACTTCTTTTGGTAATTATGTCAACCTTGAGCAACAACTTCTATCACTTTTTTTTTCAAAGAAGTGAACTTTTTTAATATTCCAATTAAATTATCAATCTACAATATTTTCTTAAATTTAGTTTTTCAAAGAGATTAGACAATATATTGTTTTCAATACAATTTTAATGTTTAAACGTCCTTGCATATTTAATTCCAATAATATAGTATATCTAAATCTTAAATCTAAAAATTCAAGAAAGTAAGATTCTCTTATAAGGAAGATCTTGCCAAACTAGTCATTGTAAGACATTGGCTAACTTATGCTAATAGTAGATACAAGTAAACAAGATCAACCTTAAAAATAGTTCTTTTACATATATTTTGTTTATTGTCACATAATTTATCCTTTTACTTTCTTTTGATTGTACCAAAAAAATTATTGACACAACTATAGTGCTATCAAACTACATGATGTAGGCCATAGCTAAATAAGAATCTAGATATTACTTGGTACTAGATGAAGAAATAGTTTGAATATTTCCTTGCATTACAATATTTTGATAAATTCTAAATCTATAATCTTAAGTAAGTTTTTGAAGTTTTTGAAGTTTTTTTTTTTTTTTTTTTTTTTTTTTTTTCTTAAAACCTCAAAGTAGGCATCCTACACCCTTCTTACTAATATTTAAGAAACTTCTAAAAATTGGTTACTCATCAATGAGCTACTCACAATATTTTAGGTAATTTTTCAACATCTTTATTTGTAGATACACTTGGATAACAAACATATGAGGTAAAAAATTTGAAGAACGAGCTAGATATATGTTTCGCAAAATTGTTAGATATGTTCTTCATTTAAATACATCAATATTCCAAAACCATCAAGTTTGTACTATATACATTTGGACAAAATTATAATGGAAAATATAATCCAGTCTTTGAATATAGTTTAATAGATGATCAATTAAAAGAAGAAAAACAATAGGAATTAGAGTTAATAATTGTTCTCTAATTTGTCTTGAGACATTGATCACAACAAGTGGTTAGTTTTTATTTATTTAATTCATAATAAAGATTAGAATAACTCCACAGAAAGAATCTACATTAATTTAAAATATTTCTACCTATATATTTCTTGTTCAATCTATCATCACTAACTAGTCCATGCTTGCATTAAATAGTAATGCTTTTCTTTTAGGAAAAATGTCTGTGGGGCATTTTATACCTAGAAGCTCATTTTAAAAAGCCATGGTTCAAAAGTTCCCCTAAATTCTCTTACTTGGTGGGAAAAAGCCCTCTATTAGAAGCCTTTGCTTATGGATACAACAATAAGAAGAGGCTATGAAATGGGCAAAATGATTTTTATTACAAGTCTAAATAAATTAGACCATATCTTAATTGAAATAATTTTAAGAAATTAGTTTCTTGTTTTTAATGATCATATTAATGAATCTCTTGATGTATCTTTTTTCTTTCTTTCTTTCTTTTTTTGAGAACAACCTCTTTGTAAAAAATCCCACAAAAATTCCGAGTTGCATAACTATTTCTGCAATGTAAGAAAAAGAAAAAGTGTATTTAACCCTCTCTTCTCATCTCAAAACTTTTGAACTTATTTTTCTGGATATAAAAGCAACTCAAAAAGTTCAATGAGGACACCTGATTATAACTAATCAAAATGTTTGAAAATTAATACTTTTCACCTTGCCCCCTTAAAATAAAGTGCCCACAATGTAACAACTTAGACTAAGAGAAAATTGAACAACTCACAGAACAGTCTTCATACTCTAAATCATGTGGCTACACCGAATACGAGCTAGGATATATGAATTCAATGGTCATTCGGTTGGAGGCCGAAACTAAAGAATAGCTCCAACAGACACCATAATTACAAGCATAAATCAAATGATCGAGAATCTACAACTACAAAGGTGCTTGAGCTTTCAAAGTCTTCGAGAATTGTTTCAACTGTTTCCGGAGCGCTAAACAGTCGATGCGATTCAATACTTTTGCAACGCAATTCAAACCCTTCCATAAATGTAGAATTCGTTGCATTCGAGGAGCCAATTTACAGTCCTGCAAATGCACTGCTAACCTTACAGTCTGCTAAAGATTAATCGTAATATTGATGACAAATGAGTTACCTATTCTGAATCATCGTGAAAAATAAATATATAGAAAAACTTAAAGCCCAAGGGCTTCCAGGAGTTTAGTGTGGTCCGAGACGTCTGCCAAAGTGTTCGCTGTGACGAGCCCGCTTGCGGCTACAGCTGGGATTCCGATTCCTGGGAATATGGAGTCCCCACAACAGAGGAGACCTTCAATAGGAGTTGCCGGCATCGGAAACAGGCCTTTTCCAGCGCGGATGGCTGGCCCGTAGGTGCCTCGCTTACGCCGAAGATATCTTTCATGTGTTAGCGGTGTTCCCACAAGCTTTACTTCACAGCTGTCGCGCGAAAAGCTTGGCCCAAGTGCTTTCTCCACAGCTTTCCACAATACCTGGTCAACATTCGCAGAGAAAACCATTCACCTCAACATTTCTGTAAACAATACTCATGAAATATTTGTGAGCTAAAAAATGTATCATTTTCTGAAGGTTGTGTATGCGCAGTACTTAATGATGCTGAAGCCCATTCGCAACCTTTCCATTTCGGAATAGACCAGAAAGACAATGTTCCGGGTGCAGTAAGGAGAAAAAGAACCTCAGCTCGCTGGGCTTTCAACAGCCGGTAAACTTCGCTTTTGCGATCCAGACCTTCCCATAAGGCATATGGCTCCGTGCCGGGTGTGTAAGCATGTAATACATGTTTCCCTGGAGGTGCCAGCGATGGGTCGAGTACACTTGGGATAGAGATGAGAACAACGTTCTGCGGAGCGTCCACCCCAGGCGTCCAATCGTTCACCACAATATAGTGAATTTGTAGGTCACTTGGAAGGTTCTGCGGAAAAGAGAAAATATTCTATTACAACCCCGAAGATAAGACACTAGAATGTAAGTGATTGACAAGCTGGTAAAAAAAACATTAAAATAGAATAAAGTTGTAAAATAAATCAATGGCAACAAAACTGACTAGAGATCGTCTCTTTCGAATTAAGATTGATCACCTTGGCATCAATCCCTAGATGGAGATGCATGAAAGAATCACATTGGGGTGTACTTTCAGCTCGAGTCCGAAGTTCCATAGGGAGGTCTCTCGGAGGAATCATAGGAACAGTATCCCATGTTGATGCATTGCTGATCACTGCCTTGCGGGCACGAATAACCTTCATTACAGCATAGCAAAACCTCATTAGAGAGGATACAAACATATCTTGCGGATGCATTCATTCATGATCTTACAGCATAATAGTAAGACTTTCTGAATGGAGGCTGAACTGTTTCCTAAAATTGATTCAATTTTCTAATGGGAGATTACACTGAGCCGGTAGCAAAATGCCTACCTGTCCGTTTCTGAGCTTTACGCCTACAGCACGACCTTTTTCAATGAGAATAGTGTCAACATGTGAGTTGAGGGAGAGACGACCCTTGTATTTCTTCAAGCCTCGCACCAGGGCGTCGATAATGGCCCCAGTGCCACCTCGTGGATACTCTAACATACACCCTGGTTTGTACCACTCTCCAAACATATAGACCTGAGAAAGAATTAGCATAAATGCGATTAACGATAAAATCAACCATCTTCCACGTTTGCAGATGTTATGAAACGATGTAAGAAGTTGCGAGATGTACCATGCTAGACATTTCGAAGAGTACATCGTCTTTGTACGTGCTTTGATAGAAGAGGCAAGTCTATGCAGAATATTTCAAAAACAGAGATGTAAGAGCTGGAATGTTACCACTTCTGCAGCGAGCGTTCCGTCCGCCTTCACACCAGAAAGGAGGAATGACAGCAGATCTACCCAATTACGCACGAACGGATTGCGGATCTCGAGGGAGTCCACAAGCACAGAAAAGGGCCCCAGCAACTTCCCAGCTCCGCTTAAGCCTTGTGGCCCCAATTGTAAGAGAGTTTTCAACACTGAAGGTCCATAGCGCCCTAAGGTAGTGATTAGGGCCCCCCAGTCAGTGCGTATGGCTGCTGGGGGAAGCGCCATAGCAGCTGTCGACAGAGGAAGAACTGCTTCCTGTACTCATAAGCATCATATGCACATGTTAAATCTCTGCGAAACTATAAGACGCAGAAAGTGAGAATTCTGAAAACACGATGGATGCAAAATCAAGTGGGAGCTCTGATGAGATATTTGAACTTAAGCAATTGACTAAACCTGAAGCTTGCGCCAGTCTGCCACAGCATCTGGTCCAGCAACTTGCAGTAAATCCTGCAATGTAAACATACAGACATCATGTAATTAATGTACTCAAATCTAGAGCACAAGTATTATCTTGGACAGTCTTTGACCTAATTCAGCACATTTCATCCTGGGAAAGATTCATGTGAAGTATCAAGCTGTGGAGGAAAGGAAGGAGCTGTTAAGGATACCTTGTAAAATTCAGTGGGACCAATCCGGGAAAGAAACTGCCCTTCGGGAACATGAACCATCCATGAGTTGTATTGCACGCAGTCAACTGGCTCCCCGAGGGCATCCAACACCTACAATGCGGAATTCAATGTCCACTACCAATCGGCTCGTCCGCATTAAAATTTGGCTTTCTTGCATACACAATTCAACGGATTTGCGAGGTTTTCTAGACCGGACAAGAGATTAGATTGGGTTGGCGAACCTGTGCTAAAGGGTTAGCCTGCGGTCCACGAGATGAAAGTCCCGAAAACAGGGATGGCCCTGAATCGAAGTGATATCCTTTGATGTCAAAAGAATGTGCAGCTCCTCCAGGGATGTCATGGCTCTCCAACACAAGTACGTCCTGTCCGTAACGCGCAAGTAGCCCGCCACAGCACAAGCCTCCGACGCCGCTGCCAATGATTACAATGTCCGCTTCCACCTTCTCTGCGGAATAATGAATTATAAAATCTGATGTTTCCGCAACCAGTGAATCGATTCCCAGCTAATTTCAACAGTAACGCTGAATTGAATCTCAAATTCGTAACTACTGTGACATATCCAAGAATTAAGCCTACGGTTGCGAGCTTGTGTGGATCCTCATGAAAACTAAAGATATCTTAGTTTGTAGCTGCAATGTCAGTCATACCTGCTTCAGGGTCCGGAATGGCTACACCAGGCGCCTTCTCTTCTATCATAGCTGCAACCACACCCCTTGAAATCCGCCTGGCATTACTTTCGAAACGTCTTCCCTTCCGTAGAGGCGACGAATCAGCACCGGCTGGTCCACTTGCAAACAGCTGAACTTCATTAAACCTGAAGAGAGGCGCCTTCGGGGCAGACAAAGCTGCTGCTGCTGATGCTACTACTACTACTCCCCTACACGCCGCCATATCCATGGCAAAGGACTAACTCCTCGGATGAGGTTCAGCAAATTCACCTCAACACGAGCTCGAAGACTGGTCCAGTGTGACTTTCTCCACTAGCGACGCACGGAGTGCAAAAATCCGCTCACTATAATTCGCACCAGATACAACCAATCGTCATGCCGATCAAATACAGGCGGAACGAAAACGCGTCAGCGACACCATCACAACACTGTCAACGACGAATTACATTGGTGTGTAGTGGTACACAAGGCAGCAACAACCTCTAATTCATGCCAAATAGACTATTACTGCTCATCAATCTCACATAAAACCGCGCCAGAATCAGAGTTCGAGTGAGAGAAATTACAGAGTATTCGGGAATTGGAGGGGAGGATTCATGGCGTCGCTGCGAAAAGAAGCGCTTCCACGTCGCGTTGCCCTGCACCTCAGACTTCGACGCCTTCACGGTTTTGGAAAAGCGCGCAGCAATGCCGCTCCAACCCCCCGCCATCATTATTTCGAATCCTGCTCGCATGTCTCGCGTCTGGCGCCGTCGTCGCCGTTCGCCTGGCCCTGGACGGCAATCTCCGTCCGACTACTATCGACGGCGATTTTGACAGCGATGGTGATACCAACTGCGAGGTTAAATATGGTTCATTAATGGTTTCAACTGAGCTATGTTGAATACAAGGTTTAATTCAACGACATCGAACCTCTATATATCTTTGTTCCTAGTATAAAAGTAATATGTTGCACTTTTGAATGTGTAAAAGGTTTTGGTTTATTGTGTTTAAAACTGCAGGTGTTTTCATTTAGTTTAGTTTTAGTTTTAGTTTTTTTTTTTTTTTTTTTTTTTTTTTTTGTGAGTATGAATGACATAGAAGAAGGTTTTCCAATGCACAAAATATAGTACATAAATGTTCATTTATGTTATGCATATTTACATATACATATTTAGGGGAATGTTAAACAGATTCATGCTTTTACTAAATTGACCCACCCTTTATGAAGAATATGGTAATCCTCATGAGTGTGGTTGGTTTTCATTGGTTGCAATTCCAATAGTAGAGAAATGAACCTAGAGTATTTTATTTTATTTTTTCATTTTTCATGATGGTTAAGGTGGGTGAGTTGATTTAGTAAAAACTTGGATCTATTTAATATTCTTCTATATTAATTTTTATATACACAATCCATGTACAAAGCACTGAAATTCATAATTTTAAAATACTTGGATTTTTTGCTTTATCCACTTACTATTTATAAACTTTCAGTTTGAATATTTTTTCCAAAATTATTCTGTGACAACCATAAAACTTTATTGCAGCAAACATAGATTTAGTTTCCAATAGAATCAAATAAACTTTCATTTAACATCATTAAGTTCTTTTAAAAATATTACACTGTAATTTTCGACTGATTTGCATCTTGTAATTTTATATTCTTTTGTACACCTTTTGAAGGAAAATTCATTTCAAAATTATTTGTCAATTAATTAAATAAATAATGTCTCTTGATTTCTTGTACATTCCTGTCAACATGTGTTCTATTGAAAGGATTTGTGCATATTTATTAAACACAATAGCGACCTATATATATATATATATATATATATGTGTGTGTGTGTGTGTATACGTACATACATACACATTTTTTTTATTTTATTTTAAAGTGATTATGTTTCAAAGAAAAATCATCCATTAAAATATAATTTATCTTGTTTTTTAAGGAATGCTTTTATGAAATTCTCTAAAATCAAATTGTTTTTTCTGCTTCTCATGTATGGCCCCTTGTATTTTTTTTAAATGTAAGTGGTGAAACAACTATTTCACATACAAAGATTTGGCACATGTGGAGATATGTTACACAATTGCACTATTTCAATTCACCATTACTTTTGGTAATCATTAACTTCTCACTTACTTTTTTATCATATAGAAATCATTTGGGAAGTTAGCTATAATATCCCAATATTTTTAGTTTTTATCTCTTTTTAATTTCATACTTTTATCAAGGTGTAACTAACATGGGCACCATCCTAATGTATTAGTTTCTTTGTCAAATTTTGAAACATCCTTTGTGGAGATATGCATGACCTTTTTTAATCAAGTTTTTGATTTAAAAAAATAAAATAAAATTGTATGTAAACTATGTGTAATGTGATATATATCCCAACCTGCCGATCTCTCATCAGGGCATCAAATGGAAAGGAAGTCAAACCTATGCATCAACGGACACCACAGGGTATCAATCCAAAAACGGGCAACAAAGGATATCAATCCAACGAGCAAGCGTACGGTGACGAAGGAACGAGTGTCCACATGTCTTCAGTCATGCACAGAAGGGCCGCTGCTCTTCATCACCTGGCAACATTTGAGCTCTCAATCGACTCGCCCATTCACATTCACAGTGTTTTCCACCGCAAAGGCGAGTCTGCAACCCATTGTTTCGATTAGAACAAACCTCAATTCTTACAGGTGGGTGAATTTCCAGTTTCTGCTGCGATTAGGTTGGAGTTTTTTAGTTTGTGGTGAGGCAGATGGTGGTCGCGGCCATGAAATTGATGTTGAATGCATGGAGGGAGTAGGTAGTGTTGTTGTGCCTCCCGATCGTGAAACGGAGAGACTCGGGGTCTGCTCTGGCTGGCCAACTTGCATCTAGTGGTTGTTAATAAAGAATCGAGGCGACTTGGTGCGAATCCGTGGGTATGGAGGAACCGCAGCTCTCACGTGTAGAGGAGATAGCGGAGGAAGTAATGAGCAATGAGCGACTAGCGCAGCGGAGAGAAGTAGAAGAACTTGAGAGAGCTGCGTGTCGTTTCGATGGAACACGATTGGAAGTTGTAGCTGATGAGGTTTTGTTCCGTGCCTGATAACCACTATCTTTTCAGAATAATCATCTTGCTCGACCTTTAATCTAGATTCGACGCTGGTGATTAAGGTTCAAGTGGTTGGTTCCTTGGGCTTGTATCGAATAATTTTCCTTCACTCGATAGGTCTATCGTTGAGAAAATCGCTACCACGTACGTATCCCAATTTCACTAATTCAGAGCTTGTCCCGTAGATTGCGGCACATTTTGAGAAAGAGAATGTAGCACATTCATTCTTCTGTTTAGCATTGAAGATTAAAAGTAGGTTCTGCAATTTTGAAGCGAAGGCATCAGTATAACGACAGGAATATGTTACTCATCAATGAGCAGGAGAACCTTAACTGTTTATGCAATTTTTGTTTATGCACATGAGCTTTTCATTTTACAGATCCATGCGCGCTTCTAAGCATTCTTCTCTCCGAAGATTTCGTATTGATTTCTTTTGAGATTCTTTGACCCCTCGAGTTTTCATTGGAGATCAAACTGTCTTGTTCGTGATTTTAAAACCTAGATCCGAGCATGAATTAGTTTATAGAGGCCATTGAGGTAATTCTCCTCTACATTATAGTAATTAGGTTAGTCACGTTAGGCGTTACTTCCTGAAACGTTGTTTACAATTTTTTGGTTTATTTGAGGGACCATGTTCATGACATGACGACTTTTCTGAATTGTACCGGTGGTTGTGAGCACTTGCTTTCACAGCGAGAGAATGCAGAGTGCCTCCTTTTTAGTTTTGCGCACGCGTCTGAACTTCAGCTTAATGGCGTCTCAAGGCTGTGTGACTCAATTCTCTTTTCATCCTCCACAGTTGTTGAGATCACTCCCAGGGCAGAGGCAATGCCCGAAGCTTAGACGAGCTCGACAGTACGCGTATTCAACTGATTCATCATCAACCTCATCGTCATCTCCTTACTCGTCGGGTAGTTCCACGCGTAGCAGCCATACTCCACGGACGAGGGATCCGGAGCCTAGAAGGAGTCTGCAGGTGGGCGCAGCGATGGGCGGCAATTCCACTGAGCTTCAGAAGATATTACCAGCTTTGGAGAAAGTTGTTCCTGTTCTAGCCCCTGGTCGCCACAAAGGACAAGCTGGTAAGCTTAAACTTTTAGGATCATGTGCTGCACTTCCAATCAGTCTGAAGCCCAGAAACTTGAACAATTGTAGTGTTCTGAATGTGCAATTAATGTTGATTGGTGCAGTGTGCAATCCCAGTGGCCACGCTTTTTTGGATTGTCATATTAGGTCCCGGACACACATAGATTGTTGAGCCCTTTCAATCTGTTGGGATTATTCTTTATTTCACTATGTGACACAGTATAAAAAAATTTCCTTTGCTGAGGGACTCCAAAATACAAAACTTTCTTCGAATACCTTCCAACTCATTTCAGGAGAAAACATCTTACGGCTTTTTCGTTGAGAATCGAATCGCTCGGACGTTACTTATTTCCAAAAAATGGGTTTGTAGGAAAAATTGCTGTTATTGGAGGCTGCAGGGAGTACACAGGGGCACCATATTTTGCTGCTATATCAGCTTTGAAAATGGTCAGTTAATCGTACGCCTTTGAATTGGTTTTCAGAGAGCACTTGGTGCTGAGAATATATTGACGTTTATGTCTTACGAGAGCTGTTGGTAGTTGCACTTGCTTTTTATCGTCGATGTAACAAGTAAATAATGATTTTTCTATGTTGCTTGCATCATCTTTTATTTCAGTATCAACATGATGGTTCTAATTTTATTTTATTTTATGTGCAACTGAGAATAACGTGGTACTTTCCATGTTGTAAGTAAAGTTTGAATAACACGGATAGTGGTTGGTGGGGTTCAGGGGGCAGATCTAGCACATGTATTCTGCACATCTGGGGCTGCGACTGTTATTAAGAGTTATAGTCCTGAATTGATTGTGCATCCCGTTCTTCATGAATCGTATGATGTAGGGTAAATTCCATCATTGAACTCTGTTGTTAAGGCTTGATTATTCAAGTATTAGTAACTAAGGAATCGTGAAAACAATCGTCCTCCTTGGCTCTATGGAAAATGGTAATTTTATTAAATGAATTGTCATTGGCTGTGTTACAAGACAAATCGGTCTCATTCGCAAACCTTAAAAGTATTCTACTTGACTCGAAGGTTCAACATTACTAATCTGACTTCAATTGTATGCTTTTGCCGTGCAGAGAAATTGGAGAGGAGGAGATTAGTGGTTTGAAAGATAAAGTACTTGCAGAAGTTGGAAAGTGGCTACAACGGTTTGATTGTATTGTAATTGGTCCTGGCCTTGGTCGTGACCCCATACTTCTGGTACACTCCATGGGCAACTCTCAATGCATAGAAATACTTTGTGGTCTGCATGTCTGGAAGGAAATACATTATTACTCATGTTCAAACGAAGATGATTAAACGTTCAAAATAATTGGTAGATCTGTAGTAAGTCAATTGAGAAGGTCATCATCCTTTACCGCTCTTGACTTTCCATCTCGTAGACATGTTGTCCCGCTGCATTGTGCACAACCTTAATGGCTTGAATATCTTCGGCAATATGAAGCGTGTGTTGTGTTTAAAATGAAAACAGGACTGTGTCGCTGCTATTATTGAGGAAGCGAAATTCAAGAACATTCCTCTTGTGCTGGATGGGGTAACCTCTCACGACTTTTAATCCGAATTGGTTCCATGCGCATCACCATGATTACGGGTTTGTGGGACATAGCGTGTTCAATCATGTCAAGAGTGCGGATGTTCCCTCACGAATATTTTTAAGGGTCGTTTTTCATTATCGACCTCTAAATAGATGTTGTATGATTGAGATTTTCATGGTCTGTGTTCAAAAGAAATCTCATGGACAAATCATTTTTACGCAGGACGGATTGTTCTTGGTGACAAACCAGCCTGAATTAATTATTGGGTATCCTCTTGCAATTCTGACTCCAAATGTTATGGAGCACAAGCGGCTCGTCGCAAAGATTGTTGGAGAAAGAGATCAGAATGTTCCACAAAATCCGGAGGTATCCAATGAAGATCTTCCCGGCCAGCTGCAAGACCTTGCGAAAAGGTCAGTAGTAGACCCGGAAGTAGTATTGAATGAAGATCTTAAAAATCCGAAGGAAGCATTGAATGAAGATCTTGAAAATCCGAAGGAAGTATTGAATGAAGATGTCCCTGGCCAGCTGATAGAACTTGCTAAAAAGTTTTCATTAGCTGACCCGCAGAGGTTATCGAATGAAGATATTTCTGGCGAGCTAATAGGACTTGCTAAGAAATTTTCCTTAATAAAAAGCCAAGAAACAAAGAATGAAGATGTTCCCGGTCAGCTGCAAGAACTTGCTAAAAAGTAACTATTAACTTGATAAAAATTAAGCAACATTAATACCTAGAATGTAGTAGTTTCTTCATGTTTGAGCTCTGGTACATTCTTAGTACATACTCCTGCTATTGGTTTTATCGCGTCATCTTATCACTGACTGAAGCTTATTGTTGCCGAACAGGATGGAGGGTGTTACTATTCTACAGAAAGGCAAAACGGACTACATTAGTGATGGTAAAACAGGTGCGTACCTCTGACATATACCTAAACCAGTTTGTACTTATTATTAGAAATTAAATTGTGATACGAGCTTCATAATTTCTATCCTCGACCATAATTTCTGTATCAGACTTCTTTTTGTTTTTCTCCTAGAGTGAGGCATTCTAATTTAGAGTTCATGTGTTGCAGTTTTAAGTTCGGATTATTATGGCTCTCCCCGACGTTGTGGTGGCCAAGGTGATGTGCTTTCTGGCAGGTAAGAATTGTTATAAGAAAAAAAGTATGGTATTTTATCTATCTATTTATTTATTTGTACTAGTTAAGATATTGGATCATGTACAACTTCTATTTCAAATATCTGGACAGATCTTCACCTATGTTGGCCTAACTTGGATGCAGCACTGCCGTTTTTGTGTCCTGGGCCAAAGAATATTTTAGCAATGAGAATGCTGCTGGCAAGAAGGAAGTCGAAGAAAGGTGGGAACATGTAGATGAGTGGTGGATCTATAGTTTACATTACTTTGTTGGTCTGGAATTTCTGCCCAGCAATGAGGTGGATAACTTGTAATTCAGTGTTTAAAGTCAACTACAATTTGAAATTATTTCGATAATAAGAACTGGACGGACGCTTTGATGGCACTAAACAGGGTCTCTAATAACCCAACAATGGTTGGCGCACTGGCGGGATCTCTACTATGTCGGAAGTCCGCTGCAAACGCGTTTGCTCAGCACAAACGAGCCACTACTACGACCAACATCATTGAGTATCTTGGTCACAGGTTGTTTACCTTTATGCTGAGGTTCTACTGAAGGTTTCTGATGCCATGCCTTAAGAATATTCGAAGCTCTTCGTGCGTCTCTGAATCATACAATTTCTTATGTCCTGATTTTCTGTAGTTTATTCCGTACATATGTAATCATTTTGGGAGAATAATACCTTGCTTAAGTGAGGTTGTTTTTCATGTGGTATTAACAGCATGGACGAACTTTTTCCTCTTCCTCAATAACTTCCTTCTTGCGGCTGGAAATCGATGCGAAGCTGTCATTTTTGCCCGCCAACCCCAGTGGCGGCGCTTGTGGCTGATGTTGATAATTCTTGCTCGTTACGAGGAACAAGTAAAGCTTTGGTGATATGCAAGAAGAAGGGCACTAAATCTTTCCAGGTTCAGTCTTGTAGGTTGGCATGCGTTGTTGCTGGAGAATGTAATCTGAATTATCATAGTAAGTAAAGTTCCTCTCATGATTGTTCAGAATAAAGCCAGGTTGTTGCGCTTGCCCTCAAAGCGTAGAAACCATGTCTCGTTCTCGATCAACGAGTTGCAAGTCGGGTCCATTTCGGACGTGTTCACTGCAAACCATAATGTTGTGTCAGAACGAGTTTTCATCCGAATGTTTTATGGTTCTATACATAAGGTTGTGAATGATATGTCTTGCTGAATTTGCGCACATGTGGAAGCTGAATTTCAAATTAGCTTTTCAATGACTGACGATGTGGTCTGAGTTATATCCAAGCAGGAATACATCATCTTTTGTGAACACTGCAAATCTGAAATAGCTTCTTCTAACCAAGGTGAAAGTTTTCTTAATTGAATTTGACTATGAAAAGGTTGAGAATGCAGAATTTTCGGATGCTATTATTGTTGAAATCAAATCGTTAATCGTGTGTGTGGAAGAGACATAAAAGATAGTTAATTGTTATAGTAATAATTTTTCTTATTCTATAAATGGATTTTGGACAATTTTGAAGATTTTTTTTATATTCTTGCTCTTCTACTAAGATCAAAATTTAGGGACAAGTGAACAAAGGCCAAGGGAGAGGTAAGGCATAGGCTTATAGAGAAGCTACCAGAGAATATGAAGAAAGGGCCAAAATATTATATTAGTGTAAATAGTCTCTTAAATAGGTGGTCAAAATCAATCCTAGTACCAACTCACTACTATTGTAATTAATTACCATTTTGATCTACTACAAATTACACTAGTTTTTTTGATTGTTGGCTTTAACTTTCAACCTCACATTATTTGTATTAACTATGGTTTTGTCTAGCAATTGCTTATAGGCAATAGGCAAGGCAAAACCAAGGTTGGTATGGGAGCTCTTTGTTATTTGTGTTTAAGGATGAAATAAAAATTTTGAAACATTAGTTGGGTTCTTTTCTATCAAGCCATTGTAGAAGTAGGTATGTATTGCATCACTTATTGAGGTTTGATGGATTTTCTTAGTCTTATCTAAAGGGATTTTAATTGTAAACTTATAGACATTTTGCTATGTGTTTTTATAATTGATTTAGTTGAACATATCTAATATTTATACATAAAAAATCAACACTAGGTGTTGAATTTGAACTATTTTTTCTCTTGTGTGTTTAATTTGTATAAGTGGTGATTGAAGTAACATAATATTTCTTTTAACTTAAATTTAGTTAATAATAAAAAAAGTTATAAAAAATTAAAAGGTTGTTGAATAGCTATTACAATTTTAAAGGATTAAACTATATATTGTACTTATTGGTACTAAATTAAGTATTTTATTGGTACTTATTAGTACTTATTGAAGAATTTTTAATGTCATTTATGGCATATTAAAGAGTATCAAAATATCTCAGACTTGTAAGCATATTTATAGATTAATTTTATTGTAATAAATAACTTAAGATTAATCTTTTATTTAAATAAAAACAAAATTTGAGAAGAATTATAAAAAATACAAAGAACCTTCTATGAAATATTAATAATCATGGCATGTTTTAAAACTTTTGGAATAAAGAAAACAAAGAAAAAATCCTCCAAATAAGAAAATTTTGTTAATTGTAAAATTAAATCAATTATGAATAAAATAAATTAGTTTATAATAGAAGTTTTTTATGAGAAAATTAGAAATAGATTGATTTGTATAGCATATTATATAATGGAATACATTAGTAATTATTATGTTTACAAAGATTTTTATACAACATTATTTCTAATAGCCAAAATTATTATTAGAGAGCTTTATCAATTTTGAAAATGAAGCAATTAGAAATAAGTGTATTTAGTGAATGCTTAGATAATTGTAACAAATTCTATCATCATAATAACCTATATTAATAAAAGTTTTTTTTTAAAACATCTTATAATTGAAATACTTTTATAAAACAAGGTTGTTTGTAGATAAGAGAATTTAGAATTTTTTAGAATAATAAATTGGTTGCAACAGTGGCAAAATTTATAGGAACTAAAATATCACTTATACCAAGATGCATAACTAAAGTGCCTTAAAAGAAATAAATTCAAAGGCAAAAAGCTAAGTTTATGATTTACTTTAGATATTCTACCATATTATTTTGTATAAATTGTACTTGTGCTATTAATTTAATTATTTAGTGCTTCACTCCTACATAATCTCATTATTCAAATATGCCTATTTATAAAATGCTAATATTTGTTTTTATTACCAATGAAGTAGCTTAATAGAAAATCATAATATATTAATACATATTTTAAACTCATGGTTCTTTTTTTATTATTTTTATTAAATATGATAAATATTTAAAATATTTATCATATTTTTTATTTTAAAATATATTTAATCTCTACTTGTGTAAAATATGGATTAATAGACTATTTTTAATTCATTTTTTTAAAAATAAATAAATATTAATTTATTAAAAATAATTCTTTATATATATATATATATATATATATATATTTAAGAATGTTTAATAGACCCATGCTTTTACTAAATTGATCCATCCATCTCAACTATCATGACAAAAAAAAATGACATCTTGATTCATTTCTCTACCTTTGGATCCAAAACAAATGAAAACCAACCACATTCATTAGGGTTACCATATATTTTTTTTTATCATAGGTAGATTGATTTAGTAAAAAATTAGATCTATTTAATATTCTCCTATATATATATATTATATTTTAAGTGGATTTATTTAAAGATACACTACAAAATTATACAACTATTTATTCTATAAACTACAATTTTTTCTCCCAAAAACACACTTGTACGAAGTATTTTAATAACTAAAGATTTTACAAGACTCAAAAATTCTAAAATTGGTTACTTATTCTTGTACATTAAATGAGACTCTTTTCTTTTCACATTAAAATTAACAACTTAAATTAAATAATTTAACAACTCAAATTAAATAAAAAAAAGTAACTTGGGAGTTAAAGTTCCATAACTACGGGAGGCACATATCAAGGAGGCAGACACGTGGCAAGATCGGATTGGATGTAGGTCTCGGACCCCACTCCCCCTTATGGTAAGCGGCCATGGCGTCTCTTCCACCATAGCCAATCTGCCCTTAGTTGCTTGTCGCTGCTCGTTGCGGTGCTTGCTGCGCTGCAGGATCTCGAATTGGCAATGGCGACCTTGGCGATGTCGGCTGCGCGGCGCCTGCTCTCCACTTCCACTGCGGCGAAAAAAATCGTCGCCCCTCGCAGTTTCCCGCATCAGTTCTCTCGCTCCGTGACGGGCAGGCCTGTTCAAGTCCCTCATGACCGGTGCGCCTATCTTTCAATCCTGTATCTGCTCTAACTGCGCATTACATGCAATTTTTGTTGTTCTTCATTCCGAATTCTTTCTTTTATACAATTATAGGTCAATCAGGTGACGTGATCGTTCTTATTACGTAGATCTGTTGAGTGGTCTGGTGGCTGCTTTAGTTTCATCGTTTGTCTCATGGTTGGGGAGCGCGTTTTAGGTTGTGTTGGCATGACTCGAATGGTTTGATTCTTGCACTCTCAGAGTTTCTGCTTCGAAATTTCGATTCTGCTTGTTTGTAGGTTCCCTCTGTGTTTCATTCATGGATTAATTGCGGTTTCGCTAGCATGTAGATTTTGTTGCATAATAATCTTGGCAGTAATTATCGTGCGACTTTCAATCCGGTAGATAGGTTTTGCCTTAGATCTAGCGTGTATGAGAGATTATCTTGTTATCGGTAAGACGCGACTTTGGTTCAAACCTTAGGGTTTAGGGTTTATTTATTTATTTATTTTTCCGTTTAGTGTACAAAACAATGGCTGAGAATTCAATATACTGCGGATGAGGATTATTCAGCGTCTACATGAGTAGAATTGCTTGGATTTGACGTAAAGCTGGTGGTGCTCCTCAGGGACACAAACGCAGCTTTGAAAAGCTTGCAGCAAGCGCAGCAGCCAGAATTTCAAGAGGAAGCCCAGGATATGCCAGGGTCATGGGTCGTAAAAGGACTAGTCCTCGCGATGTTGACCTACATCGGCATGAATGTGGCGCCCATGATGGGTATGATTAATCTCGCTTAATGCTACGTTGGACAAGCTTAAGATCTTGCTTAATTTTCCTCTTGATGGTTCTAGCAGCTCTTCTTAGCCCAGATTTGTCCTGCATTGCAATGACTTAAGCAACACTCAATCAAGTGCAATTCAGATGTTACTTTTCATTTTGTATCTGTGGTAGAATATGTTCGCACCACAGTTTCGCTGCCCGTGTGCGTGATTTCTTGTTTCTGTTTTCCTTCTTCCAAATTCGTGCAAATTTTGAATCTCCTGCTTTGCCTTTTCGAGTAAAATTTGTAAGAATATCAATGCAGGGTTAGCCGATCGAGTTGTCGTTATCGCAAAGTATATCAGGGTTTCTCTTGAATGTTTGTCTTGCTCAATTGTAGGCGAAAACATGGTGCGACATTCTGTTTCGCTAGTAAAAGTGAAAGATCCTTTCATGAAACGAAGTGGCGCCTCGCGTCTCGCCATGATTGCTACGGATGGTGAGTTTCCAAGAACCAAAAGCAGGGTTTAATCGTGTCAATGACGATTGAAATTCTTCATGAACATGTGTCTTAATTCCCCTCTCTTTCAGACATCAGGAATTTAAAATTGAAGTTCTAAATGTCACTTTTGCTGCACGTGAAGTTTAAAATCTTCATTATTAAATATGTTTCTTCGTTCGCTGAAATCTATTTTCATGTCATTACAACTTCCTTTGTTAAACTTGTTAATTGTTCCTATGCTGACATGCCATAGTATTTTTGAGCAATGTCTTTTGGAAAGTCCTTAGGTTGACGACCTTGGCAAGTTGTTGGAATACCTGACCAATATTTTGGTTCGTTGCAGATGATAAGCGGAAAAGAATAGTGGATGCTGGTGGCGTGAAAGCACTCTTGAGCATGCTTGAAACAGCTGCAGATGACGACACCCGTAGAGAAGCTGTGACGGCATTGGCAATGTTAGCACATTATGGTGCGTGCTGTTATTTTTGTGGCATCGTCTGTACTTCACGTAATATTTGTAAGGATCTCCCTTTCAACTAAGAAGTAATTAGCCTAGCAATGACCTTAACAAAGTTTTTGGGTTCTTACAGATCCCGCAGTGGAGGCAATTCATACGGCAGGAGGTGGTCTCTTGGTAAATACACTGTCAGAGTCAACAACTGACAATGTCACTCAAGAACACTGCTCTGCCTTGCTTGTGAAGCTGGGCCAGTGGAATACTAACAAGTCATAGGTATGTATTTACCATGTGGCTCTTACCTAGCGGATTTTGGTTCATTGACGATTTAAACCCTGATAGCGATTTTTTTGGTTCAAGAACTGTGAAGAACGAGAGCAACTGTGGGGCCTCAATTGTAAAATTATTTTTGTAGAATGTAGGAGCATCTTACACGTATTGATCCCATACAGTTCATCCGCTGATTGAGGCAATGAAATCACGGTTCGCATGACAGCGAATGGCGATGATCTTAGTAATCGATTGTATTTAGAATGGTGATATAGGTATTCTTCTAGGTTCAATTGGATACTTGTCATAGATGGTAGTATATTTCACCCTGCCAACTGGGGAATGAGTGAAGTAATAAGTGGATGATGCGTTGAAAACACCTAGTATTCGGAGTATGAGCTTCGACAATGAACTCTACTGTTTACTGTTTTTGTGAAGGCATGATTGCCTGAGTTCAACACTGGCGCTTGACACTTCCCACAATGTCATGGAGACCTTGTTTGTCTGCTACCATTGACCAACATGATTAAGAGTTGAATTTGTAGAATTTCACACCAGCAGAGTTTCGGAAACTTCAACACAAGCTCAATTCCTCCTCAGTGTCAGCTCAGGAGGAGTTCTTCACTTTTTGGAGCATTTTGAGGACATTGCTGTTGTGTGAACTGTGATCATGAAAGCATATTTACATTTTTTTTCCTGCTATCCTCACACAAATCTTGCTTACTGTAATGAGAAACTTCATGTTTCTATCCGAGCCTTCTGGCAGAGCCATGATTCTCTTTAAGTTCGCGCTTCTTCGCCCGCCGATCTTCGGTCTTGTCGACTTGCATTGATTAAAGTTGGCTTTGGGTCTCACTCAATTAGTGCCACGCTGATTGAATGTGCACTTTAACCGGGTCCGACGACCTTAGGATTGCGTCTCCAGCTTCGTGAATTCTTTTTGTCAACGGGAGTTTCAGGTTGTCAATAGTGTTTTGCATTGTTTGTTGCTTTGTTAACACGATTCCCTGTGTCGAGAGTACAAATTGGTACTGTTTCGAGACGACGAGAATCCAGTGCCAATCGTGTAGATGAACTTTTTGTGGTTAGAAACAGCAGGCAAAATCCTGTAGTCTACCACCTCGATCTTAGCGTGTGCAATGACAGAAAACATCACTCGAATTTCAAATTCCAAATATGTTAATCGTGCTGTGATTGTGATGGTTCTTATCTGCATGATGGATCGTTGTCACGGACAGTCATGGTGGTCATGGGGATCAAGTCCTCCACCGCCTTCTGCATTGACGGACTCATCGACTGCTGCTGCACCTTCAATCAGCTCGGCATCCGCTCCAGTCACTTCGCCTTCGATCAGCTTCCCAAGTTTTGGAGCCATCCCGCCCTCTTCATCGTCAGCAGATTTATTGACTTCTGCCCCGCCTTCGCCATCCATGAGCTTCTCAAGTTTTGGAGCCATCCCGCCCTCTTCATCGTCGGCAGATTTATTTTCTGCTCCGCCTTCGCCATCCATGAGCTTTTCAAGTTTTGGAGCCATCCCGCCCTCTTCATCGTCGGCAGATTTATTTTCTGCTCCGCCTTCGCCATCCATGAGTTTCTCAAGTTTTGGAGCCACCCCACCCTCTTCATCGTCAGCAGATTTATCGACTGCTGCTCCGCCTTCGCCAACATTCTCAACGATTACTGCATCTCCGCCCTCATTGTCGAGTTGGACATCGTCGCCGCCATCACAAAGCACCCCAACCTCACCTGCGACGCCACCTTCGCCCACCTTCAGTGTTCCGTCATCTCCAGCACCTCCGCCTTCCACCGCACCACCACCCCGTCCAACTAACAGCACGACTCTCTTTGTGATGTCAACTTCATTTTCTTTCGGATTCGAGACAATCTACACGTCCGTGCAGGATGCCATAGATGCAGTTCCAGGTGATCATCCTGTCGTTTCTCCATTTTTTCTAGGAAACTTGGAACTCTTGTTGATGGCAGTACTGTTTTCATGCGGTTGTGTCCGGAAGATCTTGACACCATGCCTTCTAATTTCTCCTTCAATGCTCCGCAGAAAATAACACTGAACTTTACACTATTGAAATTTTCTCCGGCACGTACTTGTGAGCATTTCTAAACTTCATACTCCTCGTTTTAGCTAGTCTTTTGATATCCACATACGTTACTGAGCAAGTTCTTATCTCGGGATTTCCAGTTGGTTTGTTGCTGTGATTTCAATTTTTTTTTTTTTTTTTTTTTTTTTTTTTTGCGGTTTTCTTTGGTTGTGATGTCCCAAGAGTACATCAGTGGGGGTCAAAAATCTGCCAATATAGTGTACATGTTATGTGCTGACTAGCGTGTTGTGACAGGGAGAAAGTGTCGATCCCAGCCACAAAGCCTTTCATTACACTTCAAGGAGCTGGAAGGAATACTACAATAATCTCATACAATGATACTGCTAATAGTACTAATTCTACAGTGAAGAGCTCCACTTTCTCCGTCTTCGCTGCCAATTTTACCGCACGAAACGTCACCTTCCAGGCAAGTTTGAGTTCCCTTCAATGCAGTAACGCAGGTAATACTTGAGACCGATTCTGTGGGTACTAAATTTGTGCGGTATTTATCACGTCTAGACTATTTCCGGCGACGAGATCTTGTCGTCGCCCTTGGCGTTCCAAAACATGTTTTTTGAAATCTAGCAACGTTAATTGCACAGAATTCAGCACCACACGCTAGTGCAGGGGAAACTGGTGCCCAAGCAGTTGCTATGCGGGTTGATGGAGACATGGCAGCCTTCTATGGCTGCGGTTTCATCAGCTCACAGGACACCATATGCGATGAAGCAGGACGGCATTATTTCCGAGACTGCTACATCGAGGGGAATATCGATATCATCTGGGGTAACGGGCAATCTCTTTACGAGGTACTAACTACGGATTTCAGAATAGCTCCATCTTTTCACTAGAATCTGTACATCTAGAAATGCATAAAGAAACCACAGTGTTTGCAAGCAGAGGAATAAAACGTACAACCGAAATCTGTTAGAATGAAGTACCAACAGTAGCATTGGCGCTTAACACTACTAATACCGTCGACAAATTCTGGTGAATACTCACAATTGTGAGCTTGCCAAGGACAAAACTCAGACTTGAGACGGTGATACTTTGCAATGTGCGGGAGGACAATGTAATATCTCATTTTCGCATGCTGACAATCGCGTCGGGTTTTACCAGTACACGCAAATACAGTCGACCGCAATAAAAAACACTGGGAGCATCACGGCACAGGGTCGTAATTCTGATAACGAAACCACAGGTTTTTCATTTGTGGGTGGCTCCATAACCGGCACCGGCAAGAATATCCTCGGCCGCGCTTATGGCCTGTACTCGCGTGTCTTCTTTATTGACACATACATGGAAGACATAATTAATCCAGTGGGTTGGAGCAACTGGCCAACGTCGAACGTATCCAAAGGGTAAGCATTTGTCTTCTTCTCCAAGGCCATATCCATGGTCTGTCTGTGCCTGTATGAGTTCTCGTAGACTTGTTAATATCTGTACTCTTCAGCAGGACTAACAGTGGATGGAAACTAATTCAAACATGTCGAAAAAGAATTTCGGACTAAGCATCCTGGTTAGTTTGTGAAGGTGTACTGACAGTGCAAGGTTTGTACCCAAATGCAGGTCGCGTCGCCTTCTGGACAATTCAACCGTCAGGTTAGACAAGATTCTCACACATTGATATTCTCACTTCATACTATGCCATGATCTGTAGAATTTCGACAAGCCACCTTCCTTACGTGAAAACGTTATGAATCGATGGGTATGTGCAGGCATGAGCAATATGGTGAATATGGAAACACAGGCCCAGGAGCAAACTTAACAGGTCGAGTTAGTTGGATGTTGAATTTGTCCGAAGCCGAGGTTGCCAACCTCACAAGCTTAAGCTTTATTGATGGAACATTGTGGCTCTCTTCGGAGACATGACCCGACGTTTGTGATCCTTGTGTTACATAATGCTTGACCACTTTGTATGCTACATTTATGATAATCTTACATGTCTGAGGCTTTTCCCATCTGGCTCATGTTTACTTGAGCGTGCAATGATTATTGGCTTGAAAACGGTGTCACATTGATAATCTTGACACGTTTTAGACTCAGGGCAGACACCTTCCAATAACGAAATCGTCAGTGTTCAGATGATTCGCAGAATATGTAACCGTCATGTATTTGCGGAAAGCAAGCCTTAAATATTCTGGGCACCATGATCAGAAACCTCTGTCCTTGCTGAACTCTGGTCTCCCCTATTCTGCTGAAGCAAATCACGTCCTAAATTAGATTGTGAAGTGAGTTCAAATGATGGGTACCGGGCTACTGATTCACATCAGTTCAGTTTATGACTGCCTGATGAGGACCGTAGCTGGGTAGAAAAAGAAAAAGAAAACTATATATATATATATATATATATAAAGCTATAAAACTATATATATATATATATATATATATATATATCTAGCTAATGAAATTCTTGGAGAAGATAGTTGGGACTCACGATGACTGCTGATTCCATAGAAAGATTTTTTTCTCTTTTTTTTCTCTTTTTAAAAGATTGGCCGCATTTTATTAGCGAGCAATCATTTTTTTGCATGAAATTTATCTACACACAATCCGAAAGGTTTCGTTTTTTGCGATTGTCACATGAGGACTTCAACAGCAATGGCCTACATTTCAACAACAGCCACCATGATAACAACGTGATATCGAGTATTCTAACTACTCATAAGCTTCTCTTTGAGGTGACTTAAAGTTTTCTCCACTTAACGACTGGAAACCTCGCACTCACTCTTGATGAACAGGGGCTGAATGGGGCTTCAAGTTTCAGTTTGTGTGACAACTGCTTCCTTCACGAAGAAGCCGACACAGCAGGTTTAGCTGGCACGGGAGGCTGCACCAATGTGCACTGCGTGACTTTAACAGGGAGCTTATCTATGACATCATTCCATGGGTTTAGCGCCGGCGGTTGAATTGTGCGCATAGCCCTCCACACAGCGCTGTTGCATTTGAATCCCGAGCCGAAGGCAATCTGCCACACTCGGTCGCCTCTCTGCACTCTGCCCTTGGCCTCGGAGTAAGCCAGCTCGTACCATAAAGAGCTGCTAGAAGTGTTGCCAAACCTTCAACGATCACCACACAGAAAGTCGATTTTAACATCCAGTCACATTAAGCGTAGGACATCCACGGAGTTGGATATTACTGTACAAGGATTAAGATTTGTCAAGCGCCGACGAGCTGCGGAATAGAGGGGATGTGTTTGAGAGGATGGCTACCTGTACAGGGTCATTCGAGAAGGCTCCATGTGCCATTGAGTGAGCTTAAGGTTTTGCTCGATTTCGTCCAGAACAGCTCGCCCCCCAGCATGGATGCAAAAATGCTCAAATGCAGTTTTGAAATCTGGAATGTAGGGCTTGTTGTTCATGTTGAACACTTTTCTCGCCATCAAGCTGACGAGGAACTGTATCTGCTCCGTCATGGGGAGTACCAGAGGACCCAGTGTTGTGATGTTCGTCTTCAGGGCATCGCCAGCGACGCTCATGAGGTCCTTTGAGAGCGTTACCCCAACGTGGCCCTCGTCATCCTCTTCCTGCCAACCAAAGATTTTCAATCGAAACTGTTGTGTTAAAAACAATTTAAAAAGGTCTAAGAGCTTATACAAAGAAATATACACATGTGTTCGTGAAAGTAAAGAAACTATGTGCACAATGCCATTTGGGCTGACCTCGATTACGCATTGGTAGCATCTGTCGTCGGCGCCCTTGTGGGTTCGCACGGTGTGCATGAGCTCGTACTTGGCACGGCGACGCTCGCTGCTCTTATTCGACAACAAAACAGCAGCGCCTCCCATTCGGAACAAGCAATTGGTCACCAGCTTCGACCGTTCATTGCCAAAATACGGCGACCTCGCAAGGATTTCCTGGCTGCACACAATGGCGTATGAATTTCGGTGCACTTGCAGGAGATCTTTGGCAAGGTCGATGGCGATCAGTCCAGCGCTGCAACCCATGCCGCCGATGTTGATGCTCTTGATGTCGCCGCGCATTTTGTACCTGTTCACGATCATGGCGGACAGCGAGGGCGTGGGGTTGAACAAGCTGCAATTTACGACGAGGACTTTCACGTCCTTGGGATTCACACCAGTTTTCGAGAACAGCTCGTCGAGTGAACTGAACATATTGGTCGCGGCTTCATGGCGAGCTACTTTTATGGAGCGGTTCAAGGGCGGGGTCATCGTCGCCCTTGAGACATAGCTGAAATCTCCCAGACCGGACCGCTCCAGCATTTTTCGCTGAAAGTTAATGCTCTCAATGTTGTACAAACCAGTCGAAGCGGCGTAGTCGAGCAGCTCCTGCTTGCTTATTGCGTTCTCCTCGTGGGGATGGTAGCATGCAAAGTCCACCATGTACACTCTGCGGGGGCTGCACAGAAAGTACAGAGTGATGGCGAACACGAACAATCCGGAGCATGCTATCACGCTGAACAAGTTGTATTGCAGCTGGTCCCACAACACTTGTAAAGTTTCCCCGTGTCCGAGCCGGTTGATTTCAGCCGTGGTCAGCATGAGCAGCGGTACAAGCAGCAAGCAAATGAGCGCATGCATCGTGAAGAAGTTAGTCAATCCGCGGAGCACGTACTTCAGCTTCACTGACTGCAGGAAGTCAGGGAGCGCGTTCCGGATCTTAATATCAATCAAGGGACCCCCCTTTCCACGCTCTCGAACACTGACATCATCCCTCCCCGCACTCATGGTTTACTGTTCGATGGGAAACTGACCCTCGCCGATCAGCAGAAATTCGAATCCGCAATCATGCAAGACTCAGTGAGTTGAAATCTGGAAGACTATCCTCAACAACACAGCGCTGACAGCAAGTATCTTGTCAATCTAAAATAAGCCAAAAGTCGTCGCTGATGAATCCGGTTACAATGCCGCTAAAACTATACACCACCCCACGAGCAGGTCAAGTGTGATCAGGATTCAAAACTATCAATCACACAAATTTTCTGAAGGCTCGGATCATGAGAAGTGGATGCTGTGCTAAATTTGATCACAATCGTCGCAACATGCACATTCAAATTATCCAATAGCCGGAGAGGGAACAGTCTTCACACAACCGCTAGACTCACGACGCTGCTGCAGTGCAGTGACGGGGCGAAGAGGATCCTCCCCTGGAATGCAGATTAAAACTGAAGGTCTCACCCACCTTGAGAATTGATGTGAGCCGTGGGATACGTCGTAGCATGACGCTGTAAGCTGTAAAGAGTGGGTGCGCAAGCGGGTCAAGGCCACGTAATGTGCGGACTCATCGAATGGTGGAGATTCACTACCCTTTATACTCAAGGCTGTGTTCAGGACAGTCCCTTAGACGTCTCCTCGACCTGCGCCTCTTCTTAAAGACGCCGCACTTTGGTTCCCGCAGGAGATGCTGACTGATTTAATAAACAATGATAATTCCTTGTGTGTCATGAGATTTTCAGGTTACAGGCCACAGTACCGTGCTCCCCCCCCCCCCCCCCCCCACCCCGCCCCCATTACAGCTGCCATGATTGCCGCTAGAATTTTGACCTGGTCTTCCAGAGCAGTAGTGCGGGTGAGGAGGATTGTGCGTTGGCCCCCGACTAAAGTATTCGCAAGACATAACTTACAGCAGCCCTGACTCTCTCAAGGCCACTGCTTAATTGATTCACATGTACTTCTGTATAAGTTAATCTAACCTTTGATTAAACTGACTAGCTACTTTGCGATGATGCCATTCATCAAGGTAAGGGGCTCATGCTTGCCTTGGAAACTGATGGGGTGCAGGCGTCGAGCCAGGAAGCGTTTAAGGGGGGCGGGGGGGTTTGTTGTGTGTCCTGGATGGTAAGTTCTGGGCTGTAGGAATAAACACCGTTTCACTGAGGAAACGTTTCGCTTCGATTCCGCAGAACCACCTCTTTAATAGATCTAGCAAGATGAGTTAGGATGTTGCTTGACTGCACACCCGTCGACGACGACCATCATCGCTCCTGTGCTCACCTCACACAAATAACTAAACAACTAAACAAACACAGCATTGACAGAACTCCGCACTGTTCCACACGTCACCGACGTCATGCCATGAAAATCCATTCTGTCGAACTAACTCCACTAAAGCTCGCCTCTTCCGCTTCCTTACATCAGTTCTGATCTGCACTGCACTGCACCGAACTGAACATTCTGGCACTGAATTTTCACCCGCCTCCGTCGAGCTTTGGATTGGATCAGCTGAAAACCTGCACTCCGACGATGGTACCCACATGCCCAACCCCTCCTCTTTGTAGATTCCTAAGGTTCTATAACTCCTTGAATAAGTTTTGTTTGTAAATCTGCTTACTTTTTATATATATATATATATAGATAAACTTATTTGCTTGCTTGCTCGCTTAAGTTTATAGATAGATAGATAGATAGCTACTGAAATTATGTGGAGAAGGTACACAGAATGATAGATGGCAATGGTTCGAAAGCATAGATTCAGGTTCAATGGACAACTCAATTCTTCGGTTGGTACCATTTTGGGATCTGAAAATTGCACTTCACATACACATTCTGGCCCCACAAATGGGCCTTGTTTTGTGGGGGTGAGAATCTCATGCAAAAGTCCATGCAAAGTTATCCACTTCTTCCCCTTTCTATTGCTTTCATTGCTGGGAGATGATATTGAAGGCCAGAAAACTCAGCTTGGAGACACAAAAACAAAAATTAAGAATAAAAATAGATATCTAAAAAAATGTTGTATTAGTAAAATATCTATCTTACAAACAAATAAAATGAAATAAAATCTCCACAGTGGTAACATTGAACATTCTTTTAGAATTTTTCTAAAAAGCTAAAATTTATCAACTGGAAGCTTGGGTTGAGTCCAAGATTGAACAGTTTTATATCAACAATTCTTGTACAAATAACCTTCTTGTTGTTAAATCCCTTATTATTATTATTATTATTATTATGTTTTTACTTTTACTTTTACTTTTTCATTATCAGTATTTTCCTGCTATACATGAGTGTATAACATTCATGATGATTAAATTTTTGAATATTTTTTTGTATTTGAATCAGGTACATTAGTTTTATTTTTCTTCATCTAATAAAAATTCATATTGATCACATTCGTAATAATACAAGATATTACCTTCAAGTTATAAATACATGTTTTCACACAATAGTTGGTTGTAGATTTGATTGAATGTTTGATGTGTATACACAAAAAAACATACAAAAGTATGGAAAAATATAAAAAAACACAAAGGGTTTAAAACTTATATTCAAGTGAATTTTTTGAGGCTATCTTAAAAGTCTTTCAGGTTAAATATAATAAAATTTCATTTTTGAATTAAAATTAGAAAAAATAAAATTCACAAATGAAAAATATCAACAATCAATGGCTTTAATAAATTAGATTGAAATAGACTTGTTAGAATATTTTAGTGTTGTTAAAATACACTTCTCTTGTGCAATAATAGCATTGTCAAAAAACTCACCTATGATAGTTAAAAATATCCTATATTAGATCGTAAAATTTGAATGGATCCAAAAAATGAAGATTTTTTTAAAAATGCATCAAAAAACTTGTAATCAATTTGAATATATTTAAATTAGATTGCTACAAAACTCTCAATAATTTGTATGCACTACAACAACAATATATCAATTGTTTGAATGTAATAGCAATAATAATCTTTACATAACTTAAGCCTACTTTTTAACTCCAAATATATTATAAGACATAAATTGGTACCCAAAGGGTATATGCACATTTTGTCAAATTACTCAAAATATTATGCATATGCAGTATAATTCAAAATTTCAGGTTACTATGCAACATTAGAAAAAAAAAGAAAAAAAGAAAAAAAGAATGTTAAAATTTTAATATTTTTAATATCTACTTTGAGACAACATAATATTCATCAATACAATTAGAATTCTTAAAGTAAGATCAGTTAAATGTTGCTAAAAAACACAACAATGATAAATCTATACAAACATACTTTAAATATTAAATTTCTTATAAAAAAGAAAATAATGAAATAATAATTTCAAAGTTGTGTTAAAAAAATTAATATTTTAATATTAAATTTAAAAATTAAAAATTAAGTATTAAAATTTTGGAAGTATTCAAGTACGTTCTAACATGTTTTTCTTTAAAAATTGGACTGAAAAGTTTATAATGATATCATATTAATATTTTATTATAATTATAAAATTTAATAATAAAAATTTAGAAGAATTTATGTTGTATTTTAATATAAAAAAATCTATATTAAAAAAATATTAAAATATTTCCTTGTATAGATGAATTTTTGTACCATAAATTGTTTTTTATGGTCTATGGTACCAAATGACATATATAGTTGATGTTGTGGTAAAGACTATTTATTATAAACCAATTATTACAGAAAAATTAAAAAGGTTTACACATCAAAAAAAAGTTTTTGATGAAAGTGTAAATTTTTCTAAAAAGAAATAAGGTAATTATATTAACTTTGACATTGTATAGATCTATTGAAATTGGTTGGCAACTTGTTATCTATTGAATAGGTGTTTTAAAAGATAATTTAATTTTTATGAGTAAATTATATCATATGTCTAAAACAAGCAAAAATAAATCGAATAAAGGCAATACATTCTGTTTTTGGAGCAATATCTTTTATTCACCAATCTTTAAAAAAAACATTTATATATACACATATATAAATATATATATAAATATATATATATATATATATATATATATACAGAGAGAGAGAGAAAAAAAAAGATTTAATTTAATTACATACAAATATTGTGGACATACAAGTGTATCGAACTAAACTCCACATTGAGCTTGATTCAACTATAGCCCAAATTAATCAAGCTTACTATTGCATGTATTTAAAAATATGGCTAAGCTTGACATGATAACTTAATTTGCATACAGTACTTAGCAATTTATATACAATATATATATTTTTTAAAATTTTAATTTTTTTGATAAATAATTTGGGATAAAATATTAAATATTCATAGTATACAAATTTAAGTATTAAATTGCATATAAATCTTGTATTATACTTCAAATTCATTAATTTAGAATAGACACTTCTTTGTAATATAAAATTCTATAACATAGTGTACATTGCATTTTAATCAATGTTAAAAAAATTCCTCCCTAAAGTTTAAAACTCAAAAAAAAAAAAAAAAAATCGTATTATGAAAATATGGTCGAGGACATAGTAAGAAAGATCTGATTGGCTCAATGAAGGGGGATGTTATAGCGTGACTGGACACAATCACATCCCCCCTTGTTGACGGTATTATGGGTCAGGTCGAGGGAGGACGGGCGGGGTCGAGGTGCCCCGGGACCCGGCCTGGCCCCAGTGATGGGTATTCGGCACCGGCTTTCCTTCGAGTCGTGCTCTACGGAAGACCAGGGGGGTGTGCTAGTACTTGGACAATTCCCCGCCCAAATAATGAGCTCTCCAATTCAGACATTCAAAGGCCCATGCATCCGACGCTGCCACCCCAGCTTCGCCGTTTCTGCCAGGTGGCCTACCCCTGTCCCCGTCACCACCTCTGCGCTTGTCGAGGATGAGATTCGTGCATCCTACGTGGCCTATTCGGTACTGCGACGTCATCCAACTACACCACGTGGCATTCCCACGTGGTCTTCGACCAAGTTCCAATTACCCCCAGGAGTAAATATTTTGTACTTATTAGTAAGGAAGTCAACATTCGAATTGGACTTTCTCCTTTCAGTACAGGACAGAACAGAACGTCCCATTATCTGGTACCGGGTAATTTTATTGTCGCGGTCATGGGTACTTCCGAAGGCCCTTATACCATGGACAGAAGACCGTGGGATTCGGCGCCGCTTCATGTTTTGGAACATTCCACATTCAACATTCCTCACGTCGCGTGGGAGAAGAGCACATCGCGCTTGATCCGAGATTCCGTGAGGTGGTGAGCATGGAGAAGGAAGAAATACTGCGGGGAGGTGAAGAAATGGCGAAGTAGTGCAAGCGTCGAGGTTGTGAATGGTGGCAACACTTGGCTCGGATATGCTCGAGGTAACGGGGACATTGTGTGTTGCTCTGATTGTGAGTTGGTGTTCGGAAGAGGAAGGGTTACAGTTATCTAGTTGTGAAATTCGGTGTAGATATTGCCTTGAGTTTGGAGAGTGAATGCGAGCACATTATCTTTGCTGTGGCTATCGATTCCTCCACGATATTAGTGGTCATGCGCAGCAAACGGATATGAGCATGGCCAAAAAAAATGATGATTTAAACGATACGAGGTATCGTGACAGGTTTTTGTCACTATGGCAGGCTAATCGATGTGAGTGCTGTGATTTCAGAGAATGAAGGACTGCGGCCCGATGACATCCCGCTCGAACTCTTTGATGTGATCGGCGAGCACTGCCAGGCCATCGTCGTGAGTGTATATGTCGGTTCGGTTCCTTGGATTGACATACACCACGCTCTTGTCGATGAAGTCCTCGCAAACCTCATCTCGCTTGTTGATGGTGTTGTGGTAGTGGTAGTAGTTCAGCGGATCCGCGTAGGTGGTCGCATTGCCGCCGATGAGGTGTCCCGAGCGGTGAATCCCCGTGCCCATTGCCTTCTGGCCCTGGATGGCGTACTTGCAGTCGTGAGACTCCCGCCACTTTATGCTCTTGAACACAAGCTTCTCGAAAGTCCATTTGCTGCGCAAACTGCAACACAATTAGACCAACCAACCAAAAAAAAAAAAAAAAAAAAAAAAACAAAAACCAATGCCACTGTAAAATAAGGAACCAAACAATTGCGGTGCAAGTTGCGAACCGTGAAAAGCTGCTGTCATTTCCTGCCTCTCCTTGTTCCTGAGCGCACAGGCTCTTTGACATAGGTTTCTGCCAGATGATGATCTGGGATTGATTTTCGTAGCGCGCAAGAATAGCAGGTAAGGAATTATCGTTCGGTGGAGCCCAGATGAACTCGTCCACATCGAAGAAGAAGATCCAGCGCGCCAGGTGCCGTGCGCGGTGGAAACAATCGTTCACCACCATAAACTGATTGTGATAGTATCCATCGAATTTCTCCTGCTCTCGGATGTTGTCCAAAGTGACGCGCCCTGCCTTGATCCAAGGTTCAATCATGCGGCGAACGTTGTCATGCACGCCGCCGGCATCGTAGAGGAAGAAATGCGATCTTGGACCGAAGAAATGTGCGTGATAAGCTATCCATTCTCGAATCTTTTGTGGACTCAAGTTGCCGAACAACGGCGAACCGCAGTAGACGTAATCGTATTTCATGTCTGAAGATTCATAAAACTCCACGCCTGGAAACTCGTCTGGTTGCTCTGTTAGAGCAACAATGCGTTCAGGGTTGCGAGGATACTGGTCTCCATAACTGGCGTAAAGCACAAGCTGGCCACCTTTTCTGTCGACGCCGACATCTTGAGAAAATGTGCAGTTGATGATCACGGCGCTGTACAGACGACTGTAAACATTGCCAGTATCCGGTAGCATCTTGATGGCCGATCCTTTCAGGGGCGCCCATACAAGGGAGTCAGGGCCAGGGATCCAGACGCATTCGTAGGGAGGATCGTTGTAAAGCTCCCCGGGGTTCTTTGCCTCAAGGCCGATGATAGCGAAGGAATTTGAACCTCCTCTGTAGGCTGACATCTTGATGAAGAGATGGACTGCCACACCGAACGTGTCGAATTGCCGAATATTTTCCTGATTGCTTTCATTCTGCACGAGTGTTATCAATTGGATGTGAGTGCAACGTACACATGTGCAAGCGGCAACAACATATGAGGGGTGAGAGTACCTTCGGGGCGAATTCGCTGGATTGAATGAGCCTGTTTTGATCCAGAGATAAGGACATTGGATGCACGTTGTTGAGACGGTAATTCGTCACGCAATTACTTCGATCTCCACGATTGTCAAACTCGCGCTTAGAATTTAACAAATGTAGTGCTGCAAGTAGAAAGACGGAATTGACCACAACGAGGAGGAGAATTTTAGCAAGCGATTCAGCACTCAGTGCTGTCCTCACTCCAGCCACCGATGAATCCAGTAGACTTTCTCCTTTGTCTCCTTTCCATAGCTTCTCGTTGAGCTCTGATTTTCGCAGCCACTGGCGCGCCATGGAAATTCGGATCACTCCGTTTTATCTCGGCAGAAGCTCGATTGATCAAGATTAACTCTGTTTTTTTTCTGTTACTTCTCACGTCATATGAAAGGAAATTGATCAATGCTCTCGGCAGAGGTCATAAAGGTCGAGCATGTTCTACGGCACTACCGAAACCAGCAAACCCTTCCCCACATCATGGTTGAATTTGTCTCTACCTGGTGGCATATGTCTCTTCAATCCTTTCGTAGAATTCATGAACCTCGAGTAAACCTTAAACAAATCATTCATCATCTCGTACTTCTTGGCTTCCATTTTATAGTGGTTGACATTGCGGAGGTCATGCAAATTACAGACCGTGAAGAGTGGGTTGCTCACACTTTCCAGCAGTCGCCGGTCTCATCTGTGCAGGTACCATCATGCTTGTGGCATTTGTTTGCTGCTCTGTCGTTATTGAGTGTTATTTAGTAAACCCTTGAAGCCATGCGGAGATTAATTCCTATAGATTTTAACTTCAAATCTTTTCGTAATTTTAAAACCTTAAGGAATGATTCACAAATATCTGAAATTCTACAGCGTGGTTATCTAGGTGTTGCATAGAATGTCGAATTCAAGATGAGTTCATGGACCGCCGAGAACGACTGACTTAACCATCCTCTACACGGACATCACACCTAATCTACTGACCCCATGCATTCGATGCAGCCCATTCGGCGATGGACTTGATCCCTCTCAGTTATTAGAAGGGGAAGCCCGACCGAATGCTGTAGCGAGTTATCCAGCGTATGGGCTTTACACACAATTGAAAAGATCTGTCAAGGGGTGCAGGCTGTGAGGCCAGGATCTTGTGAAGTCCCCAGCGCGCATAGTGGGACTGCTCCCATTACTGCTTCAACAACTGATTGATCACACTTGAATGAATTTGATAAATGTCCATCGATTTATGGAGTTGATCAGTGACTTGCGTGGTTACATAATTTCTGAAATGGATGGATTTCTGAGCCACTGTATCTTGACCACTAACACTCAGAATTTTTTGAATATATGTAGGGATGGAATAGTGCACTGGTGCTGGTGCCTGTGAACACCAATGTTGCTGCGCCACGACTTCGTATATAGCCCTTGACCCAACCCGGGGGTAAATTCTTATTTGACCTTAAACATGATTTGTTGTTTGAAATCTCATCTTCTCCTACTCGGATCATTCTCAGGGAACATTCTAAAATATTCTTGAATCGAGATGTGTGCCAAGAAGTTATGTCTCCAGGGCAACTTCAAATCTGGACCCTAGCCTATATTCCAGTATGGAAAGGTCTAGGCTAGTGGGCACATCCGGGGCCGTTGCACAAGGATGTTCGTAGAGAAGGATCTTCAAAATGGAAATTACTGTCCAAGGCTTTACATACGAAGAAGTTGAATTACGTGGAACCAGTGAAGGAACGTGTTGAGCGTCCACTGGTTCCAACAACGTACGTGGAACCAGTGAACGCTTAACAAGTTCGCAGAGATGGACCACATGACTCGATGCTTCAAAAGTTGTCTGCTGCAGTGGCCATCAGAAATTTTCTATTATTGACTCTTCCCGACCCGTTTCTGATCCTAGACCACTCCATTATCCTGAAACGCTTTGAAGACAAGGCTGCAATCCCTAGCATTGGTGAGGAGACAACAAATCATTTTGCACTTCAGCAGAACACATCACCGTCGACATCAGCAATCGACAACCTCAATGACAGTAGAAGCGCAGGTAACGAAAAAACTTGAGCTATCCAGAACTATATCCATCACAAAGATAGAAAGAAACTTTTGTTTGTTTTTGTTTTTGTTTTTGTTTTTTTTTTTTTCCTTTTTTTTTTTTTGTTTTTGGGCAGAGACAAAAGAGATATCACCAACATGTAATTCTATTCCAGGTTGACATGGCTGACAATAAAGCAAGGCTTTGCACGAGATAAGGATTATCTTTACACCTGCATGTCATTATTCTAAGTAGCATAGGATGCACATTCTATCCTTGTGGTCAATGGACCTTGCTACCTTTTTGTGGCTCTCCGTGATCAACATCGATTACGGTGGTCTGCCCCATCACCAGTAGACATAGCTGGAACATTAACAAAATTTCCCAGACTTTCTTAAGATGAGTATGACCACACAATCCTCTAAAACTCCACGTCAGATCGAGCCCATCTTTCACGCGTACGAAGTGTGCATCCTCATTTTAATACCTAAAAATGTTATTCAACAATACCATCAACAAGAAATTTACAAATTCAAATCCATATTCCTACACGTCAGAGCGAAAGCAAGCTCACCAAAACCTAACACAATAATCCAAAGTAATTTACCATCCGTGTTTACTTCCTATTTCAATATCTACTGGAAGATGAACCCATTCAAATGTAATGTGAACCCCAAAGAACTGAAGATTGGAAACAGCTTGTAGCAGAGATTGTTGCAAACTTGACCTAATCTTTAAAATTATTGAACTGATTCACAAATTTGCACCCGCAGCGCAGGTAAATGGTGATGATCTTGCGGCAGCCTGAGTTTCTAATTCAGCTGGGCACAGAATCTGCCAAACTATCTGCAACACAACAATCTCCCGAACGAGTAAATTCAGGATGGGAAAAAGGGTGGTGCATCATTATCCAGTGACTGCGGCATTCACACTGTTCTGACTCAATGACGAGGTGCCTAGCCGGAGCTTGAGCAGCCCTGGCACACGCTCAGCCTCTTCGGATAGCCGAGGAAAAGCACCCTTGAGCTTTCATGCAGCGCATGGATATGCCTGGACGTGGAGGAGGCAGAGGCGATGGTCTTCCCACCTCCACAAAGCACTCACTCGCAGCTTGCGTGTGTGATGACATTCAGTTGGGCACTTCAATGGAGCAGCACGAGATTAACTTGCTGACTTGATTCAGGGGAAGCCTTTCTGTCGAGTGCAGCGCTGGTTTCGTGAGCTTGGCATTGAACCCAGTTGTGGGTCTGATTTTCGTAGTCGCCTTCGAATTTTTTTTCCTTCTGGGTCCTGCAGGATTTGAGCTGTTGGGCGATTCAGCTTGAGAAGTGAGGGCAGATTGGTGCGGATAGGTGTGGAGGTGTTGGGTGATTTCGCAGCTATGGCTGGAAGAATTGGTACTCCGAGTCCCCTACTTAAGTCTTCTGCTGTTGTTTCAGCTCAGAAGCAAGTCAGGTTGTCTGATGGCGCGAGTAGGATACAATTCTCATTGCAGGTGGTGAAGTTCACACATCAAAATTCTAGGTTGCAGAGGACTCACACGGAGACGCAATTCGCCCTTAAGAAGATTAGATTTCTCGTAGGTAAACGTCTGTCGATTGCGAGTAATGCGAAATTGCCAAGAAGACATGTCGCTGTTGCGAGCTCTTTCCGTTGCAATGAAGGTTCGGACGTGGATACAAATGCAGTAGTTGCTACTGAATTAGGCGCATGTCAACTCGGGTCTGACGACCACGGAGTAACCGAAGCATACCAAACCAATCAATCTAGGAGCGCTAGAAGTAACGATGCAGAATTCTCTAATGTGCATTTGGGTCGGAGAATGTTGCTTGGTTCCGTACTCACAGCAGTAGCTCTTAGTAGTATCAATAATTCAGGATTAGCTCTGGCTGAAGTGAAGAGTAGTGGGAGTGACAAAGCTAAAACCAAGGGTGGAGCATCAGGTGCAGAGAAAGGGAAGAATGATAATGCGGGGCCACAAATTCGAGATAAGTGGAAAGGATCTAGGGTTTATGATGCGACAGTGCTGGGAGAGCCTGTCGCTGTGGGTGGCGAGAGAAGCAGAGTATGGCAGAAGTTGCTGCAGGCACGAGTTGTTTACCTCGGCGAAGCAGAGCGAGTGCCAGACCCTGACGATAAGGTAACAAACAATCTCTAGATTGATCGGTAATTGCGACTTTCAATGAGTTTGACGATGGTCCGACCGAGTATGTATTCCTCTCCCGCAATCTTTCTAGAGCAGGTAGATCAAGGGTCACCAATCATCTAGTGCACATGTTTATCCAGCTTGCTGAAGTGGTTTGATTTGGATGACAGATATTGGAGATGGGGATTGTGCGTAAGCTTCGTGACGCTTGTTTCGAGCAGGCACGTCCTGTGTCTTTGGCCCTTGACATTTTCCCAGTTACGCTTCAAAAATCACTGGATAAGTATATGAGTAAGAGGTCAGTGTTGCACCGTTCAAAAATACCTGTGCATAAGCTCAGAATTGTAGTTTTTCCCCTCCCTCGTAATCCTGCATGAAGGACTGATCTTGCTTGCGCACGCGAATTCCCATCCTATTGTAGAGCTTTTGTTACCGTAGATTGATGCGAAGGTTGAAGATGGCACTAGACGAGCACGTTGAACAGTTTGCTTGGATTCGAGCTTGTGAGCGATGCCGTATTGTGAAGAGCAATTACCGGCACGGACTTTAATTTCTCCTTGCCCAATTTGATGACAGATTATCCGACGCTGAGCTGAAGTCTATGGTCGAATTTTGGCCGAATGGAAGATGGCAAGAATGTTTTCCGATTCTGCAGTATTGTCGGGCAAGTGGTGTTCGACTTCTGGCTTGTGGAACCCCCGCAGAGGTAATTGTTTTAATCTTTACCTCATGAACCAACAATTCAATGTGTGAAATCAATTAACATGTTGCTTGCCGACACATTAAGGTGCGGCCTGTTCTCCTAAGGTGTTTTTAATCCAGTTCTGTGCATTGTCCTAGGTTTTGCGCAAAATTCAAGCTAATGGGTTTCAAGGCCTGAGTGAAAAAGAGAAGAAGACCTATGTTCCTCCGGTTGGAGGTGGATTTGGAGGTGTTCCTATTCCACTCATTGACCAACTAGCCCTTGCCGATGTTGCTTCGAACCCTTATGGTTCTGGTCCTTATCAGTATTCTCAAGCGCGGATCGTTGCTGATCATGTGATGAGTCAGGTGCACATTCAGGCCACATATTTCATGAATGGCATGTGAATTTTAGAAGGTTTTCAGGCTTTTAATTAATCATGAGATTCTATACATGTCTTTGATGTCACCTTTCATAACCTTACCTATACATCACAAGCTTTTTACATGAGGGAATATAACATCAATTTACAAGGATGGACGTTGTTTTGCACCGGACACTGAATTCTCCACTGTTTTTGCATAGGTTGTTGAGAAAGGTATGCTGGACGGAGGTTCTACTGGGCTATTAATCGTAATTACTGGAGCATCTCATGTAGCATATGGTTCGAGAGGTACAGGGCTGCCTGCTAGAGTACAAAAGAAGTTGACGAAGAGAACCCAAGCAGTAGTGCTACTGAACCCGGAGCGACAACGGATACGGAAGGAAGGCAATGTACCTGAGGCGGATTTCTTGTGGTACTCTGCAGCCCGAGCATGTAACCGGAATTGCTTTGACCGAGCTGAGGTTGCTCGTGTTATGGATGCTGCAGGCAGACGTCGTGATGCATTACCCCAGGTTAGTTCATTAACTGAAAAATGGCAGACTTAGCAGCAATAACAGTTATCAAACCTCCTTTGAAGTGGGTCCGCATTGTTCGAAGACCTGCAATACTATTTTCCTAAAATTTGTCACTCATACAGATTTTGATTGTATGTGGGCTAACAGGACATTCAAGCTGGACTTGAGCGAGGGCTGGTGGACCCAGAAGTGCTGAAGAGCTTCTTTGAATTAGACGAGCATCCGATCATTGCAGAACTGACTCGTCGCTTTCAGGTTACCTTCTGCTGCCACATTCCACGATTTAAGAAAATTTTGAAGAAATAAGTTTTTCTATCTAGTCGTATTCCATATCTGTAATTTCTTCTCCGTGAAGTCGTCTTGTTTGGGCTCTATTTAGGAACCTATGGGCATAGTGCTGCAATTCATGTATAGGTCAGGTCAAGAAAACCAGTTTTTATCGATGTGAACGAGCGGATGTTGGTTGCAGGGTTTGAGGGAGAGATGGCTTGCAGACCCTCGGTTTCTGCAAAGGCTTGCAATTGAAGAATCAATATCAATCACAACCACTTTACTAGCACAATACGAACGCAGAGGTCCCCGCTTTTGGAATGAGATTGAGTATGTCATCACGGACTCTGTTCGGGGAGCGGTGGTGGATTTTTTCACAGTCTGGCTTCCGGCACCCACGCTGTCCTTCCGATCTTTAGATGCTGAGGTCAGCCAATATTGCCACATTACATTTTTACATTTATCTAAAATTATTCTCATTAAGTGAGAAATTATATTTGGAGACTCGGTCCGGTTGAAATCATTCAGTTACTAACATGCTCGTCCTTGTCCAGGTTCCTGGAGGATTTTTTGAAGGGTTGACGGGATTGCTCGGCACTGTGCCCGACAATGCTTTCCAAAGAGCAAGAGTGGGTGAAAGTTACGATTTGAAGGCTAGGGCACTTGCTGTCGTACTCGGTGGTTTAAAACTCTTTGGTGTTGGTTTTATATCAAGCATTGGTACACTCTCGGTTTCTAATGGTGTATGGGCCATCCGGAAAACTCTTAACCGTGAAATAGCCCAAAAACCCGCCGCTAAGCGCTCCCCAATTTTCAAGACAGCATTCGTTTATGGGAGTTTTTTGGGCCTCTCCGCCAATCTGCGGTATCAGGTGGGTTAATCAGTCTTGATACCATGGACAAGTCTTCAATAAAATGATTGTAGGAAGCTCAAGTAGTTGATATCAGTATCCCCGATTGCTTCCTGGACGCTTTCATACTGGTTGTCGTGAGGTTTTCATTCTGCTGCTGATTTTTGTTGTATTGCAAGAATTTAGACAATCTTGTGAATTACGCAGGCAATTGCCGGAATCGTTGAGCACTGGATTGCAGACTACTTCTTGGCCGCTCAACCACTAGCAGGAAGTGTGCTATCGTTTGCTGCACGAATTGCAAATTCTTACTGGGGAACTGGGGTACTTTTCTGCTCTTGATTCCCAACCTCAAGTCGATCATTCAAGTCCTAGCAAATGCAAAGTTCCTATAGTTTATCTTGGAGTCATCATCTGGCAGTTTAGATGATCTAAGTTTTTCTGGCCTAATGTGAATCATTTGTATGATGCAGCAATGGGTGGACCTTGCTCGCTTAACTGGTCTCCAGTCTACAGAGGACGAGGGTCCACCTCCATCTCCAATTGAGGGACAGGAATCCAAGATTGAGGGCTCACTTGAAGCCAACTTGTCATCGACCTGGGAGCAACCTTCCTCACCACTGGAGAGCACAGATGGAGTGGAAGTGAAACAAGAGGTCGAAACAACAAGCGCCCCTTAGAGGTACCAGCATATGTATGCTGTGGCATATTAGATTCCTCCTCATTCTTGACGCAAATGAGTAGTTTTTATTTCTTGCCCTGTGCGTTTTTTTTTGCTACGGATAACTTGTAATCACCGTGGTTCTGATTGAGTGTTTGAGGAGGCGCATCCGTCAGTGGGCAAGATTGTTGTGAAATCACATGTATTTTAAGGCACAGCTACTTGTGGAGTGGCTGCAATTATGGTTCATAGCGAATTAATGTAGATTGGAACGTTGTTGAGAGTATTATACATCACTCTGTAGATTAGCCTGTCGGCACTGATTTAGAACTGGAAGGCGACCGAAATTAATTCGCCTCTCAAAATTTTACTCCATGCAAACGAGAACATATGGAGTGCCAAACCACCGATCAGGAAGGTCTAAGACAGACCCCCTTGAGTTGTAGTTTATGAATCGAAAGAAAACTTACCAACTTTGTTTTGTGAGCAAAAGTTAGCAAGAAAAAAAAACTGGAGCTTGTTCCAGTATGCAGAACTGAAAGGATGGCTGCCAAGTGGATTGTTTTGAAGAATTCAACGCTATTTTGTTTCCTTTTTTATTTTCCTTCTTTTCGTGGCTGTCTGCCAGAGCCTCAATCCTGCCTTTATGACACTCTTCCTTATTAGAAGGAATTTTTAACTTTTCTTAAGGACATGCGTTGTACATACCCACATCACACAGTACAAGGGATCAAGCCAAGTGTTGTAACGCTGGAGCTTTCACCAAACACACTATTAGAATGATGCTTTAATATGCTTCTCTCTTTCAAAATGGAGTGGGAGCCACCTGCTACAAGGTCATGAGCATCTACACCTGTGCAAGTGACTCTTGGCATTGAAAAGAAACGTGCATTTTTTTGCTAGATGAACTGGAGGAAAATTAAAGGCATGTATCTTTATGATTGAACCATAGTTGGCAATATTACCTTGTTTGTTAGTCACACTGATTTTAAAGTTTTACTTAGTGACTTCATGGTGTGGCAAGATATGGACACTTCTACGTTTGTTATTAATGGCTTGTCAAGAATTAAATTACCTCATGTTTGTTTGATCATGTCATATGTTTCTACAATGTTATATTTTTTTGATTAATAAATCATTATGTGGTAAAAAAAATAAAATGAATTATAAATTATTTTAACTAAAATTAATTGATAATTTAAGTTATCAACTATAACTTTTATCTTATGATTTTATACTTGTAAATGGTAATTAATAATCTAAAATTTCAATAAATTAATTTTTATTTCGTAATTTTAGATAAATAAAAAAATAATTTAATTTTTCAAAAATATTCTAATCATATTTGGATGCATTGCTTTAGAAAAAATAATTTAAGAAAAAAACAACATATATAGTGTAATTTTATGATGCTATATGTTTTACTAAGATTACAAAGAAAAGTATAAAATATAAAATATTTAAAATAATATATATTATTTATCACAATAAATATTTTAAGTATAAAGTTTTTAGAAATAGATCTCCTTTAAAAAAATAAAAAATAAGACACATATAAAGTTTATTATCAAATATAAAAATAAATAAAAATAAATACATATATAAAAAATATTATGCTAAAAAAATTTTGTATTAAATTTTTTTGTATTAAAAATTTAGAATGGAAGAAGATAAATAGTTTCTCTCGACTACATTCCAAATACTATAGCTACAATATTTACTATAAACTATAGTAAATATTATGGAGAGCCAGCTACATTTAATGCTTTCAACACTCTTTCTTACTTGTCATAATATTTATATAACTTAAAATTTGTATAAAATTATAATTTATACTTTTTTATAAACTTGCAAGATCAATAGCTATTGCCTCATTAAAGCTTTATTTAGGAAAATCTTATTGTATTCAAGGGCAAAACCATAGATGAAGAGAAAAGAGTACAACATCATTTTAAGAGTTCATTAACTTTCTTGCTCAAGAAAAGGAAGTTGCCATATGCTAATGCTAAGTAAATTATCAATGGTTGCATAAAGGGAGAGCTTTGGTGAGGAGATCAGCAAGGTTATTTGCAAATTCAATTTTCTTGATCTTGAGTGCTTCATTAGTAACTAAGTCATGGATATAACTAAAATATTTTGGATCAATATGCTTTGTCATGTCGCCTTTAATGAAACCAACTTACATCTATATAATATAAGTGCTATTATCTTCATATAAGATAGTTGGAGAATCATCATATGAAAGTCCATAAGTTATCTGAATGAATTTATCAATTGATTGCAATCAAATATATTTTGGAAATGCTTTATATAAGGTAATAATTTTGCATGGTTGAATGAAGTTGCAGTTATAGTTTGTTTCATTGATTTCCATGATATTGCAACTCCATGATTTAAGAATATATAGCCTATTTGAGATTTAACTGTTGTAATATTAGATTTTTATCTTACATTACAATATCCAACTAATTTTGGATTTACAGATCGTATGTAGTATAATTCCAAATCTTCAATATCTTTTAAATAACATAATAAATATTTGATGCCATTCTAATGTCATAGTATTAGACATGCATTATGTTTTGGAAGAACACCAATTGCAAATGTAATATTTGGTCTGGTAGATGTAGCTAAATATAAAAGTATTCCAATTCCTATAAGATATGGATATTGATCTTCCAATATTTCCTCTTCCTCACACAGATAATATAGATCATGACTATTATGACCACATCCAACTATTGGTGTTGACAATAAATAAGCATCAATCATATTGAAACTTAGAAAGATGTGTTTAATATACATTAGTTGGTAAAGAAACATGCTACCATCTGTGAAATGTATAATCTGAAGACTAATACAAAAAGTTGTTTTTCTAGCATTTTCATCTCAAACTCAAGAATAAGTAGGTGAGTAGCTTCAATGCATGTAGATCTAGTATCCAGTAAGTTAAGATCATCAATATATACAATAATGATTACAAAACCAGTTTTATCTAATTTGATAAATAAATAAGAGATTAGTGGATCACTTACAAATTTATTTTTAATTAAATAAATTTAAAGATGTTGATACCAAATGTGTCCAGATTGTTTTAGACCATATAAGGCCTTGTATAATTTAATATCATAATATCGTTCTAGAGAAATTGCATTTGGAATTCTTATTTCTAAACCAGGTGGAACTTTCATATAAATATCTGCATCAAGAAAATTATAAAAATATGCAATTATCACATCCATAAGACTCATCTCAAGGATAGTATGAACTGTCATTTTAATCATTTATTAGAATTTAATTGAATCTATGACTAAAAAATATGTGAATTCATAATCAATGCCAAACTATTGGATAAATCCTTGGGCAACAAGACGAGCTTTATAGTAGGTTATTTGACAGTTAGTATCTTGCTTGCATATTAATACCATCTTATATTCTACAAGGCAAGAAGTAAGAGTGTCCACAATTGGACCAAAGACTTTCTTCTTATGCAAAGAAGTATATTCTTCTTTGATGGTAGTTTTCCATTTTAACCAGTTAGAGTGATATATTGCTTCGTCAATGATTTGAGGTTGAGGTTGAGGATCCTCTTTCTTATAAGAAAGATCTTTTGCAATCATAAATAGGAATGATTCATCTATTATAACAGATGGTCCATTCCAAATAACATTTATAGTACAATTTAGAACAAATAATTTTGTACTCAATTTAATTTTATTCTTCTTAATTTCAAGATTTTATATTGTATGAGATAAAGGTATAATTTGCATGGACATATCATCATTGATTGATGGTTCCATAGGTTTAGTAAAAACATCCATAGAAATAATACTAGAATCACCACATTTTATAGCCTTCTTCTTTTGTGGTTGTTTATCTAGGCCATGAGTCCTTTTAGTTTTTGATGATTTAACTTGAAGTATATTGATTAGTCGTATTGTAATTTAATTAGATTCATTCTAATCATCATTAATTAGAATTCTTGTAATCCGAGGTGCATCACTAAAGCCATCAGGTATTTCATCTGCAATCCGTTTTAGATACAAAATCTTAACAATTTCAATTTTATCTAAAGATGTTTTAGGATCAAGATTTATTATAAATATTTTTGGTGCTTCAAATACAAGCATTCTATTTCTTTGTTGATTAAATACTCTTCCTCAAAGAAATAGAAATATATTCTCTTTAAAATGGTAATTTTAAAAATATGCACATAATAATGTGCCAATTGATAGATCAACAATTCAAATAATGCTTCATGAATCAAAACCACTATATATGCCCTCTCATTGATGAGTCCCAATGGTATATCATTGAAGTTTTGGTATTGAAATCTAAGCATGGAAACCAAAAATCTATAGGTAAAATACATTTGGAATATAACTAGAAATAAGCTTTTATAGTATAATGATTTCAAGAGAAGCAGGATGGAAGCGTATTTATGCTGCAACATGCAAAACTGCATGATTCTACATAAATGTAGATAAATTTGCTTAAAGAAAAAATGGTGATGTAATAAATTATATATTCTATATAAATGACTCTATAAGTCTATTTTTATTATGTTCATATGGAATATAATATGTCAACTTAATTCCTATTATAGTGCAATAGTTTTCAAAAGACTTTGATGCAAATTCTTTTGTAATGTCTATATCCAATGTTTTGATAGGATAATCAAGAAAATATGCTTGAAAATAAATAAACATAGATATAAGATTGAAAAATACCTTATTTTGGATTGATAATAAATATGTGATTGTTTGCCTTATGCATCAATAAGAACCAAAAAATAACAAAATGGTCCAGATATTGGATTAATAAGACTACAAATATTACCATACAACCTTTTAAGCATTGGTAGTAATTTTTGTAGAAGTTTCTAAATTTAAGATCCGACAATCAACTTGCCTTGCACACATGCACAATATAATTTCATAGAATCTATATCTGCACCTCTTAAATTATGCCTAGTTATACATGAAATTATTTTTCAAAATAATACAGATCCTGCATGTCCCAATTGTCTATGTCAAAGAGAAATGTAATTCTTTGTAATAGGTGATATAAAATTAAATATAATAGGAGGCTAGATTGCAATCTAATATAAAATATTTATGATAATAAAGATTTTTTTTACAACTTTATGGTTTTATAAAAGAACCAAAATCTCCTACCTATCTAGAATTGCAATTGAAAGGTGATAACCATAGGCATGCATATCTCAAAAGCTAATCAGATTTTGAAGTATTAAAGGTACAAATATTATATGTTTACATTTTATGATCAAGCTTGCAAGTAATTTTATCATCATTGTTCTTTCTTGGAAATAAAATGCATTTGCTCTAGCTATAGTCATCAAATTTTTAATTTACGAAGTTGAAGTTTTTTCATTAAAAAATCGTCTATTCCACAAGATAATATGTATTTTTACAGAATCAATAATTACATCATTTGACTCATCATTAAAGATTTTTTCATTTATATAAGCTTTTAAATTATCAACACCAATTGAATCCATGGATACATCTATGTATGAACTTCACAAATCTCACCATGAAGTTTTTTTATTTTTTTGTAATATTTTAAGAAATTATTC